AGCTGTCTTGTATTAGATTGATTCGACCATATCTGGAATATAAAAACATACAATAACTTGCAGTATCCAAGAAACCCGACACATCTCGTAGTAGAATTCCACTATGAAATTTAATGATCAACTTTTTGGATACTGCCAAATAACCTTCTATCAAAACATCGAAAACTGCTTCATTCAGCGCATGAAATTTTTCAAACAAAAACAGAACCTAAAATTTAGATCCGAAAAGTTTATAATCTTACTTTGTTGAGTCAGAGTCATTTCCTACAACATCATTTTCATTGAGAATAGGAACAATGTTCATAGAGAGTAAGTCATTGAGGGTGTTTTGAAGCATTTTTCTGCTCTCCGGTTGAGTGAAATCCGGCTTTGTGATCAGTACCTGAAATTAACTGAATAAACAGGTGGGATCTGTGTAAAAACTGATCTGTCCTCGACTCAATTGTAGTGTTCTACAAATCGTATTATATCTGTATAATGGACATACTATCACTTCAGCCACAATTTTAAAACGAACCTGAGCACAAGGAATGCCATACTGAGCGAACATAGCCTCATAAAGGCTCATAAGTCCGCTCTGTCCGGCGCCTGCGCACGCGCGCGGGTTGATCACCAGCTGGTGTTTGTTGATGTCTCGTAAAGTTTGTTTTACACTTTGTCCCATCAACAGCTGGTTCATTAGACGCTGTCTCCCAAACGCTACAGCTCCAGAGGACACCAGAATTACTTGTTTACCTGAATCATCAATCAGGTTACGATTACTGATGACATTCAGTGGGTGGCAATTGCTCAGATATACAGCATATACTAGATTAACAACAACAAGTGTAGTTTAATGTAGTAAAACCTGTGTAACATTCAGGAATATTTATCGGTTATGATCTGTTGATTATAATCTTACCCTGGTAATGAAGCTCAGATATCTGCTCGATAACACTGGCTAGCCTCCCTAGTGCAAGCCCGTCCTTGTTCTCTCTGGTGACAACTGCACTGCCTAGTTTCACTATTATACGTTCACATTTCGCTAGATCTCCTCGTTGTCTACCCCTCCCACTCGAGACGGAGGAGGAAAGGGAGGAGGAGAGGAGAGGAGGGGAGGAGGAGATGGCAGGGAAACGGGCTGATATGAGCTGGTGAGGAAGTGTTTGAGGATTCAGGAATTTAAATGAATTTGAATGATGAATCATTTACTCGTCACTATTTAAACCATTATTTTGACAAACATTGCTATGCAAAGTTTTGATGTGGTACATTTGTGTAAATGTTTATAATAGTTATGTCTGATTATGATGGTACGCAGGAGCGCAAGCCAGCTCAAATTTCAAAAATGCAAACAGCTTTCATCTCGCTGTGTGATAATCTCAGCCATGAGTTCCATGTGAAATAGTATTACATAATCAAGCATGATCTCATGTCTACACTGGTTACAGTATGAGATCACCACACAAGGCATTGTGGGGCGAGGAGAAACAGTGAAATATTCAGACCTACCGTAATGAATCATGTGTACAGTGTATTATAGTATTATGTAAATGTACTGCTCCCTCGTGGTTGAGAAAGGTAATTCTGTAGTGTTATGATAACTAATGATGCTCACCAGAACAAACCACACAGGAAGTCACAGCTTCGTGTGCTTGATAAGTGGCGGAATGGGAATCGTGTTACAAAGCAAAGCCTCAGATCACCACACATTTAGTGTGACAGCAAAAGTGTGAATTATGACAGATGGAGTGATCAAAATTGTGATTAAACTTATGCAAATAAGTTTTATAATCACAATCAAGGGTTACCTTTATAAATCTCATTGAATAAGTTTGGTTTGATGATAAAATAACGAACCTGTTTAGCAACATGTCTAAATGCTGATCTATACAACATGACAGAGTACAAGCAGCAAGGAATGCAGGTAGCGAGGAATGTACTCAGAGATTATATACACTTTAGAGGGGGAGTATGGTAGTTTCACTGAAGATCTGGTAGTCTAGCTCATAAACTGGGAAATAGTGGGTAACTGTGTACACTAATTGTAAAGAATGCAGAGTGAAGAGAAATTCTTAGTGAGCTGCCTTTCAAACCTATTCACTTCTCACCTGACTAATTAACACGCAAAACTACACAAATCTAAGCGATAACTACAAAATATACAATTTATGTCAAAGTCGCAAACTCTATAACAAACAGCGGTTCAGTTGGGATACAGAAATTAAATGAAATAGATTAAAACCGGATAACTCTACACGGTGACAAAGTTAGCGATAAAATTATCTATCAAGATCATGCGATTACAGTCAACGGGTAGATTAGGTTTCAAATCAATACAAATCCGGCTCTACAATTAGTGAGGTCCTAACTACACGTACAACGTATCTCAAGGAGTCCGAAATAAGGCAACACATCACACCCTATAAACTAATAAAATCGGGTAAATAAAATGACGTGTACTATTATATAAATTATATTGTCTAATTTACCGGTCTAAAACGCATAATAATGTAATATTCAGATCATGCAAACTCCTTACATCCTGTATTGTGGGACAGTAGTTTAGTGAGACAGTAGTTTAGAGGGCGAGAGGTTTTAAGATTTTATGTGATGCTTGTTCTAAGTTCAAGTCGATATGTTATGTAACAGTAAAGTTCAAGTGCCAAATGAAAATCCGGTATAACTATAGATGCACGTGACACAGTGAAAAGCAGCTGAAGATAACAAACATGGTACCAACAAACTAATACCCAAACATAGGGAGACAAGATCTATCTTGATAAATGAAGTAAAAGAGAGCTGACCATCGAAAATTGCCAGGTTAACGAAATGAGACCCTACAGGGTAAGATAGTTGTAAATACAAGCCACGTGTACAGTTCTGCAGACTGCAATTATACAGAGCGCATATTATCACAACGTACTAGAAATAATAATGAGATACAATGAAAGTGACACTATACACAGCACTGTATTGTGTATAATGTGCAGTGAGAGAACGTGTGAGGGAGTCAGGGAGTGAGTTGTCAGTTGACAGCGGTGATGACATCGTACACACTTACAAGTACCAAATACCACAAACTATACATTACAGCATGATTCGTTTGAATAATACACTTAACTAACAATTTATCGGCTATTTATCTTTGCCACAGGAACCAAGTCACTTTACACGCTGCATGATACACAGATTAATTTGGCTGGCGGGATGACCGTCATTATAAACCCGGGGTTTCATGACTTCCAGGTTAGATATTTTTTCTGCATATATTTAGCTAAGGCTAGAGGGGGTACGATTTTTTTTTTCTAGTTTTAACATTATTATATGTGATAGAGCTGCTGGAGATGAACAAGTAGGAAAAAACCGCATAAGGGTCTGACCTTGCTTTGCTGAGATATTGCGCACCAAAGTTTGAGGTTTACATGTAATTACAATTATATTACATGTTAAACTTAATATAAACTTAAAAAAGGGAAAACTCAACTTTTGGAAAAGACTGGCCACTCCCAGGACCTGAGACGTGGCACAAGTGTTCCTTAGGTTGTTAGCCACAAACGATATGCTGACAGGGGTGTAGGATTGATTTTCTTCATGAGGGGGCCAAGATCTTAGAGTTTTTCTAATTTAGCACGCGCTTTGGAGCTTTGGCCACAGCCTGAATTTCAAAAACAACAAAACGTGTAAAAGGCCTAGCTGAGCAATTTGGCAATAGAGATCATTTTCATACACAGTTTCGTTTTTCTGTTTCAAGAACGATTAAAATAATACAATTTTAAATGCATATTAGGGCCTGCAAGCAGCTCTTGCGAAATAAGGGTAGTTCGAAAAAGTTGTAAAATGATAAATCCAGCAAGATTTTGTTGTGCCAATTTAAGGGTCAAAGGAAAAGTCCTGCAAATTTTGAAAAATATGCTTACAGTAATAGGTCTCACTCTCAAAGAGGGTGCAACATGCAAGGAGGGAGAATCTGGAACAATTTTTGGAAAATTTGTTTTAAGGAATAAATTCTAGCAATGAGGAATGTAAATTTGGACTACAAGGAGAAAACTGTTGCCTGCTAATTTACTTGAAAATACTGAACACGGCATAAAAGAGTAATCAGTAATGTTATCTGAATTTTATAATCGCTTATAGCTTTATAGGCTTCTGAACTTCTGATGCATCCTGACATGTAATCACAGTGCTGGCATTTGGCAAGCATGACCGTTGCCCTTATACCTCCCATACTATTATACCCCATTTACTGTTTCTTCAGGCATTAAGGCTCATTGGAAGTCGTTCAGCAGGTTTATTTTTAGTTCAAAACATTCTAATTCGATGTCAAAGATGACAGGAATAAGATAATGTTATAGTAAGGGGAAAAGTGGTCGATTTAAGGGTTCCGTTGGATTTGAATGTTCACAAGGATTTCTCAACGGAATATGGTAGTTAGGACCCCTACGAACATAATTAGACTTGTTGCCAATTTTTTATCTCAACAGAAACACCACTTTTACCACTTTTTACCACCTTTGTACCACTTTTCTGGTTTGCCAAATATCTTTAGTTGTGAACGTCGTAGAAGGCTGAAAATTAACCTAGAATGTTTATCTTATCAAGGAGTAAAACTTTTGTATCAAAATTTTTTACATTGGACAATCAGCTAATTGGATAATTACCAATTAGTTAATCACCAAAAAAAGTGAAAATTTTTTATTGGCTCAAAATGATTGAAATCGTTTGAAACACGGAGAAATGTAGTTTTTAGAAAAACTTCAAAAAATTTTTCACTTAAAATTTTTTTTCGAGACTTGAAAAAAAAGTTTGAAAATTTGAAAATATTTTTTTTCCGCCAAAAGTGATCGAATTGCATGAAACGTGGATAAAAATGCTTTGCAGAAAAACTTCGAAGATTTTTACATTGGGGAATACTAAAATCATCAATATTTGAAGTTGGAGTTCAGTAAATCTCGACATATTTTAGTAATTAGGAATAGCTTAGCGGAAAGGGCTGGACCTGAAAAAGGTTAACCACACAATATTAGAGTTTCGTAACTAATTACAATACAGCTTTATCAAATTCCACATAAAGAAACAGCACAAAAGGACCATTTAAGATCGAACCGATTTTACCTGCTGTACTATCATTTTATTGATTTCAATGATCAAAACCTCTGTCAATCTTGCCAATCTATACCGGGTATCTGAATGTACCGGACCTCTTATTTACCTCTATAATTAGACCCAGTTGTGCAAGAAATGCGATTTCTCACAGGGGTTTCTTTAAACTGTGCACTTTTTATCACTCTCGCAACTCGCAAGAGGCCTGGTATTATAGGGGGGGGGGGGGGGGGGGGGGGGGGGGGGGGGGGGGGGTGGTATAGGAAGCGAGTGTAAATATACCTTCCATCATCCATTGTGGCTTTTTTGTATTGTGAATGCGCATGCCGCTTCGTTTGCTATGCCATATACCTCGAATAACCCCCATATGTCATTGCCAGGGTCGGGATAGAGCTGGAGATAGCATTGAAAAGTTGCTAGAAATAGCTAGATTTAGAGTAAACTGGTGGTAGCTGGGTGGTGCTAGCATGGATGTAGCAGAACGTAGCTACACGGGGTTTCATTGGAGTTGGTTATTTTAATGGCCAAAGAGTGCCGGAACTAAAGTTACTTAAGATTGCAGTTTAGGGGCAGTGTAAACCACGGTGTAGTCAGGGACACAGAGCTACAGTGCAGGAGTACTGCAATAGAACAGTGCAAGTGATACAGTCTGCAACAGTAAAACGCCGACGAAGCTAGACTTAGAGTGAACTGATGGAAGCTGGGTGGTGCTAAAATGGAGGTAGCAGAACGTACTACATGATGAAAACAGGAAAACTAAGGCTGGTTGAGACCTAAAAAGATGTGAATCTGTCCTGATAGATCCAGTGAAGAGCGAGTAGCGAAGAGTTTGATCACTAACCTAAAGCTCTAAAGAAGAAGAGGGCTAAAGAGACTCACTTTGATCAATAAATCCGGTACGGCAAGGTCTGTAGCCTTGATAAGAAGATACCATGAAGTAATTCATGCAGAAAAGTCGATTTATATAAAGGGTTTCGTTGGATCTAAAAAGGGTGGGTCAGTCTCTCTGTTTTCATAAGATTCTGATGAAATGCTGTTAAGCTCAGGACGGTGATCTTAATAGGTCGGATAGCTGTATCTGGTTGCTTCCAGCCCACCCTTGTCGCTTGAAAATAAGTTCTCACCCCACCTCTTCCAAAAATACAGTTACCAGAGCAGGAAACTCTTCTTCCTCCTCTTCTTTCAACACAAACACAATCAGGTTCCAGCTACTCTCCTCCTCTGCAGCCACAATCTTATCTCCTTCTTCGGAGTTTTACTGTTGCAGACTGTATCACTTGCACTGTTCTTTTGCAGTACTCCTGCACTGTAGCTCTGTGTCCCTGACTACACCGTGGTTTACACTGCCCCTAAACTGCAATCTTAAGTAACTTTAGTTCCGGCACTCTTTGGCCATTAAAATAACCAACTCCAATGAAACCCCGTGTAGCTACGTTCTGCTACATCCATGCTAGCACCACCCAGCTACCACCAGTTTACTCTAAATCTAGCTATTTCTAGCAACTTTTCAATGCTATCTCCAGCCCTATCCCGACCCTGGCAATGACATATGGGGGTTATTCGAGGTATATGGCATAGCAAACGAAGCGGCATGCGCATTCACAATACAAAAAAGCCACAATGGATGATGGAAGGTATATTTACACTCGCTTCCTATACCCCCCCCCCCCCCCCCCCCTATAATACCAGGCCTCTTGCAAGTTGCGAGAGTGACAAAAAGTGCACAGTTTAAAGAAACCCCTGTGAGAAATCGCATTTCTTGCACAACTGGGTCTAATTATAGAGGTAAATAAGAGGTCCGGTACATTCAGATACCCGGTATAGATTGGCAAGATTGACAGAGGTTTTGATCATTGAAATCAATAAAATGATAGTACAGCAGGTAAAATCGGTTCGATCTTAAATGG